TGGAGTGGCCGTGGGCTCTGCTGTAGGCCACACCATAGGTCATGCGCTGACAGGAGGATTTGGTGGAGGAAGCAGCTCTGAAGCTGCGAGGCCTGATATTACTTATCAGGTAAGAGAAAGCACAACTGGACACCAACTGATGAGGTGCACTTAACTTAGCAGAGCAGTTACATACAGGCTCAGGTAATTGCTGTAGATCTAAAGACCACACAAGTCGTCGTTTGTCATAGAGACCCAACTCCCCAAGGTGGCTACCACAGTCACCCTGTCCTAAAACTAGCTGGAAGGGGTACATGGGTGATAACATGCTTGTGGGAGGGTATTAGAGTTGTTTTCTACTGTAGTATTCTGATTTAGGCAAGACTTCCATGTTCCAGGTCTGATGATGGCAAGGTCTAATGCGAGATCTTTTTGTGCTGCTCAAACATTAAGATAATGCTGCTACCTTACCCAGAGTTATCCAAGTGTATCCGAAGTTACCCAAGTGTTGGTAACTTAGGAAACTGTTCAGAATGTGTCATGCCACTGCTGGAAGCCTGTTTTGTCCTTCAATCCATTACCTGTTTTCCATTTAAAAAGCAACTGTGTTGCTTTGACTAAAATGCAGGGAAGGAACACACAGGGTGGTTTGGCTCCGCAGGCTGGAGCTGTTGAAGGGTGCTTATGGAGGTGTCTCCCGTTTCAGGAGCCGCAGGCAGCTCAGCCTGCCTACCAGCAGCAGCAGCAGCAGTTTGCTCCTTGCCAGTATGAAATGAAGCAGTTCCTGGAGTGTGCCCAGAACCAGACTGACCTCAAGCTGTGCGAGGGCTTCAGTGAGGTGCTGAAGCAGTGCAGGTTTGCTAACGGTAAGCAGGCAGCGCCCCAGGCAACCACGGACGGGGTTGATCAGTAAAATGAATGTGGAAATAATGTCTTGGGGTTTTCAATCCATCCAGGAAAGAATGGGGATGCACAGAGCACATGGACACTGGAGTCAGTTGCAAGCTGCTGCCCTCTTTGGCTTCCTGTTTTGGTCCTGTACATGTAGCTGGAGGTGATGGGGTGTGGGGAGGATGAATTCCCAAAGCTTTTGTGCATGGACCGAAGCTGTAAATCTGGGAGAGTGGTGGCAGCACGCTTGGAGGTTCAGCACAGAGTTGCTGGTGTATGGCTAGTGCTGAGTTGCACCCGAAACAAACCACCCTGACCTGGGTGGGAGAAAGGAGACTGCTGCTGATGTCTGCAGCTCAGCAAGTGCATGAGGGAGAGGGAACACCCTAACATAGATCTACTTTATAGCAAGGAAACCCACCCGCCATTCAGGGCTCCAAACCTTACTGCCATTAACCATGCCAACTGCTTACCTTTCAGGTTTAGCCTAAGCCTTCAGAACAAGGCTGCTGAGGACCATCTTGCAAGGATTGACCTGTGAATGAAGAAGAAGCTTCAGTAATAAAGCCTAAAGTTGATACCTTACTAGTTCATATATTCACACTCTTGTTCTCCTTGTGGCTTTTATTCACCCTCTTGTTCTCCTTGTGGCTTGATTCCTGCCATAGCCTCTACAGATGTGCTCCAACTTACAGCCGCGAGTTAATTTAGCACAAAATGGAAGAATGAATAAAGTGGAATGAGCTAATTTGTGTTTACTGGTTTGCTGATTGTTGTGTTGAATGTAAGTGACCTGGTGTATAAATAAACTTCTCTCTCTGCTCTGATGTGAACACTTGAACCCCCCCAGGCAACTTGCGCTGATTAAAATGAGCCGTCACAAGGGAGCTGGTGTCAGTTCTGCATGTGGTGGGTCTTGGTTCCCCAGTGGCCTCCTGTCCCACTGCTCAAAACAAGCTCTATATTGAGATTCAAGAGGTTCCGAGAAATCCCTTCCCTCCCCTGGGACAGGATCTCTCGTGGGCCATTACCTGGGCAAGCCCATGTGCTGCTGTGCCACTGTGTGCTCCAAGAAGCATCTTCTGTGGAGCCGCAGCTCCTGATGGCATAGAGGTTTTCTCTTCCTCCACCTGGTGACAGGAGCTTGACACACGGTGGGGTGGTCCAGCCTGCTCCTCGCACCTCGCGTAGGCAAAGGACAAAGCTGCTGCAGGAAGAGAACAAATCATCTCCCTATAAACAGAATTCACTGATGGGGAGTGCGAACCTGCCTTTTCCCATCAGAGGGAGCAGC